AGAAGTGGGTCCCTCTCTGTGCTCTCCTTGAATATACTGCATCTCCGTACTCCTAGATAGCTATACTTTGAACCTTGTGATTCTGATGCTGACCACCAACTTACCTTCTGCCTGGCTACTCCTCACTGGTCAGCAAGTATAGAGAGTCTCTGGTTCATACTCTGGCCATGGTTATGGAATGTGGAAGGAGATATTTTATTGTCGTTTCCCAAGGAATGAATGAGATTGAGCTCTCATGCAATCCAAAAAAAAGAGAATGAACATTTATTAAGGTAAAGGGAAAGAAAATAAACACTGAGTACGACCTATGTGTGCATTGTTGGTTCTACAAGAACATAAGGGGTATCCAGTTCTTCTAGACTCAGTACAGCTTATTGAAAAATGTAAAAGGCCCTTTGAAAATGACATCCAATTTAATGCTCACAAAAATACTCTGAAATAGTTATTCCTACTTTGCAGATGAAAATATTAAAACTTGGAGAAACTCCAAGACTTACATGGGGCCATGTATCTAGTTAGAAAGAATGTCATGACTTAAACACAGGTGACAAAAAGGGGGGTTGGGGGCAGCACTGTGGCTCACTTGGTTAATCCTCTGCCTTGTGGCACCGGCACCCCATATGACCGCCGGGTTCTAGTCCCGGTTGCTCCTCTTCCACTCCAGCTCCCTGCTGTGGCCCGGGAGGGCAGTGGAGGATGGCCCAAGTGCTTGGGCGCCTGCACCCACATGGGAGACCAGGAAGAAGCACCCGCCTCCTGGCTTCGGATCGGCGCAGCACTGGCCATAGCGGCCATTTGGGGAGTGAACCAATGGAAGGAAGACCTTTCTCTTTGTCTCTCTCTCACTGTCTATAACTCTACCTGTCAAATAACCAAAAAAAAAAAAAAAAAAATAGGTGACATCCTTCAAAGCCCATTATCTTTCCATTCATCTACAATTTTATTCCAAGCTCAAAAATCCCCATATTTACATAAATATCTCATATCCATAATCTTGGCTGTTAAAATGATCTATTGTAATTTTTCACATTTTTTGGCCACCATAAGCAGCTTTTACCCATCTCTAAATATTAATTATAGGTGCTTCATCTTACACTTCTCCTCATTATACAATTGCCAAAATAAATTAAAATGTGAGTACTATTAACATTTCTCCCATTGTGTTTCCTCACACATTGGACTGTTTTGCCCAAACATTCAAAATAGGCACATGTTGGGCTGGCATCATGGTGCAGTGGATTAAACCATTACCCTTGATGCCAGCCTCCCATATTAGAGTGCTTATTTGAGTCCCACATGCTCCAGTTCCTATCCAACTCCTTGCTAATGCACCTGGGGAAGCTGCAAATGATGGCCCAGGTACTTGGGTTCCTGCCATCCACATGGGAGACCAGGATAGACTTCCTGACTCTTGGCTTCCTGCTGGCCCTACCCCAGCCATTACAGCCACTTGAGGAATGAACCGGTGGATCAAAGATATTCTGTCTCTCTCTTTCTCTGTGTGTGTGTGTGTGTTTGCTTCCTCTCTCTGTCATATGCACATACATCTCTGCCTTACACTTACATACATACATACATACTCACATACATACACACATACATATGTCTATCTTTGAAACCTTCCAGTGCAGCTCCCCAAGAGCCTCTTTAGCCTCCCAGGTGATCCCCATGGCAAGTACTCAGTGCCATCTTTTCCTGGCTGCCAGTTAACTTTTGCCAAAGCAGTGCCAAGGTCCCTGATATAAGAGAGAGAATCTCATGGACTAGGTGATCATTTGCCTTTCTGGCATCTCCATCTGTGTACCAGGTAAGATGCCTTAGAAACAGAGACTTCAGACCATGGTGTCTTTGCACATGAGAGAGACATGCTTTACACTCCATCCCATTTCAAGACCCTGCCTCTGGTGTTAGTGGTGATGGAACATTGAAAATAGCTATAGGAGAGCTGTTTCTTCTCTTTTGAAACGGGGTGCCTTGCATATCATGATCTATGTAATAAATGCCTTCTGGAACTTCTTCTCAGGATTAACTTCATCTGTCTTGAAGGATAGCTGTGTTTTATTTATTGAAAACATCATGTACCCTATCACGTGATCCTTTTTGCATAGCTGCTTACAAGTTCACGAGTTAAATTTAGTGCTCAGTTGCATTGATTATTTCATTCTCAGTTTCTGATAAAAATTTTCCTTTCTTTTCTACTCTGTGATTTCTGGGCTGTGGAGTCACTAGGAATTTAGTTAAGGGTTCATGGTATCTTTTTGCTTGAATACTAGTGCTCTTTGGAAGTTCTCATGAATATCTTCTGGAGATTAATGAACTTCCATCCAGTTATAGCGCACTCCTTCTCTCCCATGGTTCATACTAGCTGAGAAAGATTTCAGAACCAGTTATATTAACATTATTACATAAAGAACTGGGTTCCTCATCCATATTGATAGGGGAATACATTTATATGCTGAAGTTCCACCTATCACAGGTAATCCAGTTCTGGTCTTCAGGACCTAACTGTGGATAAAATGACACAGATGATACTGACATGACGCATATGCCATTGATGACTAAAGAGAGTTAACTTCTTGGACTGGTTCTGGGAAAGAAATCCTAAGCCATATCCCAGTGAACTTCCCTAGCAGACACAGAGGTGCTGTTGAGGACAGGCCAGAACAGTGGGTAAGGGGGAGAAGTGATGCAAGAGCCAGCATGAGCACATTCTTGATTGATTGGTGATCTTAATCCAGGACCACTGCCTGCACTGAGCAGGTTGCCCACACAAAGCATTCAGTGAGAGAACTTAGGCCAAGACTGAAATCCTATGTACTCTGTATCTTTTTATAATTCATTGTCCCTGATGGAGTGCCTTCTTCTAATTCATATGATAGTATCATAGGAACTAAAAGGACACATACTTTTACTTCAGAGTCATCTAAGCCACTCCTCTAAAGAGGAAGAGAAAGTGTGGGATGCGGTAGGAGATTGGGAGTGTGCAGTAAGTGACTAAAAGTGTTCTTCCAGTGCCCTTCTCTCTGGGAGCGTGGGGGAAATCCTCCCTCCCCTCTGTGAGGAGCCAGGCAGTAATATTGTTCACTTATAACTGTATACATTGACAGAACAGGAGAGGATACTAGGTGCAAGTGGTGTACAAAAGTAGAAAAGGGGCTTTGAGTTGTCACAGTTCTCACATTCAACAGATAATAACCAAGTGTCTACCATGTGCCAGGCACAGCAGAGGCCTGGAGACACTGCAGTGAATGAGACAAGCAAAGCCCATCAGAACACTGGGCTTCTGCTTTCCACTTGCAGCGTTCCCTTAGGCCAATCCTCTGCTTACCTGTGAAATGCAGCTCTGTGGTACCAGTGTTACTCCTGCTCTGTACTGACTCCAGCATTCTTACTGTATGCTAAGTTCCCCCAGGGAGCTTTATATGAGAGATGTTCCATCTCAATTTTGGCTTGGGAAGAGGCATCCACAGAATTCCTCCCTTGTCTCTCATTCAAACTTTCCATCTTCCAAAAGCCATTGTTTTCTTCCAGTTGCTCAATTATTTTCCAATAAAAACTATGAGCAGGTAGCTCTACTCAGTTTAGGAATCCCCTCATCAACAGACTTAGATATGCAATTCAGAATAGCAGGAGCATAGGATGCCATGTAAGGAAGAGCAAGTATTTAGTAGAAGTCTGGGGAGGTAAGCAGGGAGTAGTCCACAGTCCATTCCTACTGTGAAATAAGGGCAATGAGAGAATTTTTAAAAGGGAGAGACATGATCAGATCTGCATTTGAAAGCAAACACTGTGACTCCATGGTAGAGAACAGCACAGTTTCTAAGAGGACGATTTCTCAGGCACTATATCAGAAAGCAGGAAAGATATAATGGTGACATGGGTTAAGGAAGAGAGTCACAGTGAGGATGAAGAAGGGGAGATGGATTCAAAAAGAATTCGGGAAGAAAAAGATACAGGACGTGGAGACTGAGTAAATGCAGGAAAGGAGGAAGAAGTCAAGAAAGAAGACTCCCAGGTTTCTGGTCTGAGCACCTGAGTGGTGTCTGTGCCCTCCAATAGGCCAGTTCTGATTGAGGGTGGAACCTGGGAGGGTAATCAAAGGGAGCTGGAGAAGGAGAGGGACAGGACCCCAGACAGACCTGTTTTTATGCAACCACATCAGGTTGAGCTTAGGACCATACACACTGCAGGAACCAAGTAAATGCATGCTGTATAGATTAATTTTATCATGTGAAAATCTTAAGTGAACAATAGTAGTTCAGGCTAGGCTTAAAGAAATCATCAACCTTCACTGGAAATGCCACGGAGAACACCTTAATGACTAAGAGATGAAAAGGTGGGACTGTGAACAAGTCTTGATGGCATCCAAACCCAGCATCTTGATCAGCTCTGGAGCCTCTTAGAGACTGGCATATTCTTGCTAAGCATATGGTTCTGATTGACTTTAATGGGATTCCCTTGCAAACCACATATTCTAAATTATCCCCTAGTAGGTATAACATTTATAGGAGACATATTATTTTACCCTGAATACCCCTTGGGTGCTGTTACACTGATTTTTGACAGTAGCAGAATTTAGAATAAGATCATCTTGTACTGGAATGCCACTGTTAACATGTTGATGTCTTGTAAGCCACAGGAAATTAGTATTTGTAAGAAGGAGAATTTCTTTAAAAGAAAAACATTAATTCCATGCTAAGAAATATCAAACACAATCTTTCTCCAGTATTCATTTTGTCTTGTTTCTTTTCAATCCAAGGACAGGCATTTTTTTTGGTGGGGATGGGGGGTGGGGTGGGGAGAGAAGGAATAGTTTTTCCAAGTCTGGAGATTAAATGATTTAGTAGGCATTTCACGTTCAACTCACAAAAAGGGGGATTTGCATATGAACTTGTTTTAGCAAGAAATGCATGTCAATGTGTTTCCTGGGAACTGTCTCAGATATATCTAAGATATGTTCTTTTGGTCACCACCTTCTTCTCTTGTCTTCATCCCTACAGGTCACTGGATTGAAGCTGTCCCAGGACCTCGATGATCTTGCCATTCTCTACCTGGCCACAGTTCAAGCCATTGCTGTAAGCTACACTTTAATCCCATGTTAAAGAGACCTGGGGCTATCAACATACCCTAGGCCTCATGCTCGCCAGAATATCAATCATATGCTTTTGTGACGGAGATTCTTAGTTAAAAGGGAGCTTGCCAGAAAGAGATGCTCATCTGTCTGGAAGGAAATGTTGCTTAAGGACCTCACCTGCTTTACTAAAAACCTCACACACTGAAAGCTAAAAGGAATTCAAGTCATTAATCATCAGTGTTATTTATCTAATTTGTCTTCTAAATTCATATAAATAGAAGCAAGCAAGCAAGCACTTGCCATATATGCTTGCTTAATTAAGAAAGGCCCAAACTTTTGAACTACATGGTATTGTTCACATTACGAAAGGATTCACTGTAGGATTCTTTTAAGTGGCAAGCTTCCTTAGAAAATGAGAGTGCTTGTTTTTCACTAAGTAGCTGCTAAAATAAGAGGTTAGGACTGTTAAGGAAGAACAGGAGAATGAGAACAAAGTCTTAGAAGCTCAAACATTGTCTCAGGAGCCTTTTTGTCTAGAGGTGAATGGGCTACAGGAGGTCTAAACCCTGAAATCATACTCATCAGGTTATATGCCTGCTGTGTTAGAACTTTCTATATGCATTTTAAAGGCATTGGTTGTTTTCAGTGTTTCATAGTAGGTAAGTACACCAAAGCTATTGAACCACAGAATAAGTTTATTTTTCAGTAGTGTACTTATTGTACTTATTATTGTTTGCTAATGCTATATGGACAATGTACAACTGTTTTTATGTTAAAAACATAACCTCATTATGTTAAACAATAGAGCTATATGCCTACTTATCCATATCACTAACAAAGGATTTTGAATGTTCAGATTCATTCCATATGTCATATTTGCACAATACAATATGTATATGAGTAGAGAATCAGCCAAGCTGTTCATCCTTTTAGATCACAGACTGGTTTGGTTATATTTTCCTGAAGCAACTTTCTTGGTGATTTAATAGACTGGCCAGTTCAGTGAAATCAGAGTTGTATGTATGGAAACTTGAACAAAACCAGGTAATTCTGACATCTCTCAAAATGAAAGAGATTCTAGTAAGATGAAAATGGAAAACAAAAGTGTCACATCCATTATAAAGACAGTTATTTAGTGATCCTATTTTTATGGTGATGATGATGATGATGACGATAAATAGTTCAAAGGTGTTCATTATATACCAGGCATAGTGCTGAGTCCTTCACTTACATTATCTGATTCAATGTTATAAAATAGGAATTATAATCCCCATTCCACAGATGGGAAACCTAAACCTCAGGACAGGCATTGTGGTGCACGGGGTTAAGCCATTTGTGATGCCCACATCCTACATCAGAGTGCTGTTCAAGTCCTGGCTCCTCCACTTCTAATCCAGTTTCCTGCTAATGCACCTGGAAGGCAGTGAATAATGGCCCAAGTACTTGGGTTCCTGCCACCTATGTGAGAGATCCAGATCTCAGATGGAATTCCTCGCTCCTGGCTTCAGCCTGGCCTAGCCCCAGCTGTTGTGGGTATTTGGAAAGTGAACTAGCGATGAAAAATCTCTGTCTCTCTGTGTCTGTCACTCTGCCTTTCAAGTAAATAAAAATTTTTAAAAAAAAAAGAAAAATAAAGCCTCACTTCTCATGGCCACATAGCTAGCTATATGTGGCAGAGTTGAACACATGGCTTTCTATAAAACTAGGAACTTTATGATTAATTAATATTAATGTACGAAAGTCACATAGTGGAATGAGTCCCTTGCACTGAAGTGGATAATCCTGGAAAACCAGAGCTTTGTGACATTCACCCTTCTGAAGACATGCCAAGGACATTGGGCATGAAGGACGAGGCCAAACAGGATGAGCCAAGGAGCAGCATCACATGATAGTAATGACCATATCTTTTCATGGGACACTGTGTCTGTGCTAGGCTGCAGAGTGCTTCACCTCTGTGTTGTTTAGAACAGTAAGCCTGTCAGTAGATGAGATTATCCTCATTTTACATATGGAGGGCAGAGCATTTTTGTCAAGGTCAAACAGCTCATGTGCAGAACTTAGAATTGAACCTCTACTGGTCTCAGTCTGAGGCTCTGTTTCTTTTCCACTTGACCATGCTGCATTTTTCTTTGATGTATTCATAAAAGCCAAAATGATGAAATAACCTTCAGCCATCCTCAAAGCAGATTTTGCTTAACACATATTAGAAAATTCATTAATTTCTCCTGGTATGACTCGCACTTTCCTTTCCTGGTAAGAGCACTGCAGCGGAAGTCCAGGAGTGTATAATGCAGGTGAGAGAGTGGAGAAAGACGGCTCTATTGTCCCAAGTACCATACATTGGGAAAATCAATCTTGCATGCATAAATATATGCATACATAAATTAAAGGCTATCATATTTATTCTATTATCTTAATAATATTTATAATACCATGAAGGGAAGGTATTTTCTTTCTTTTTTTAAAAGATTTATTTATTTATTTGAAAGTCAGAGCTACACAGAGAGAGGAGAGGCAGAGAAAGAGGTCTTGCATCCACTGGTTCACTCCCCAGATGCCTGCAACCCCAGAGCTGTGCCAATCAGAAGCCAGGAGCCAGGAGCTTCTTACCTGGTCTCCCACACTGGTGCAAGGGTCCAAGGACTTGGGCCAACTTCTGCTGCTTTCCCAGGCCAGGCCATAGCAGAGTGCTGAATTGGAAGTGGAGCAACTGGGTCTCTAACCGGCTCCCATATGGGATGCCAGTGCCTGAGGCCAGGGTGTTAACCCTCTGTGCCACATTTTCAAGACAGACTTTTCAGTATTACAGAGTCAATTGAATTGTAAGGGATTGTCTGTTTCACAAAAATATCTGAGTGTGCAATGTTTTAGTCCAAAATATGCATTTTAATGCAGCATTCTGATAATAGATATTTTTCCATAATGTTCAACTTGGAAATTTTTTTTTTTTTACTTTTTACATTGGCCCTGTCACTACTCTAGCACATATTTGTTGTCGACAAATTAAAGTGAAGCAAAGTCCTCTCTATGGTAATATTTGCTGTTAGTTTGTTGTAGGAATGGAATGAAATCAAAGAGAGATTGTGATGAAGTTAACTCAGGACTGTTCAGAACCTTCCGTGGAGTAAAGTTCTTTCTTCATCACACTTAATTGAAAGACCTGTCAGCCACTCAGTTTATCCATAGCCTGTTCATCTGCAGTTTGCTTTGCAGAATGGGCCCTTGTAAAGTACTATTTGCATTTGAAGTCTCTTGATTTGCATTTGGTTCTGTACATTCTCAGAGGAATAGCCTAATCTTTATTTAAATTTCTGTGTGAAAACATTTTTTCCAGAAAGGTGAACACAAAATCATTTTTGCACAAAGCCCTTTGGCAGGGCATTTCAGGAGGGTGGAATGCTACAAAGAGTGGAGCCTGGGGCACCAGAAGGGAATGCCCTGTGAAGAACCACCAGGCCCGCAGTGTCACACACTGGAGAGACACAGTCACAGCCTCTCAGAGGGAATGCTCCTTGTTTGGATCCTTCCTTGGCTTTTCCCAGGAAATGTGCTTTGTATTATATCCTAGTTTCAGGCCTGCTGATCATGTGGCCCCAGGTCCTTGGTTTTGAACATATCAGTTTTACATGGCATTTCCATGCATATTGGGAGGCAGTAACCCTCCCTCCCATAGGGACTGCATTACCTCAGGTAAATGATATAACTCCTAAGTAGGGATAATAATAGCAGGTTTTGAGTTTGTGATAAGGTAAGAGATGACATTAATGTTCACAGCAGAGTGTCTGGCATAGAACAAATAACCAAAATGGCTCATTTGTAAGTGCTGTACACGCCTCTGTGAATTAGACATAGACTGCCTTTGGCAACAACCTTGCAAGGTAGATATTTCTGTATTTCACCAAACTGAAGACCATATTTTTAATTTTTTTAGCATATCATCTCATATTATTTCTGATCATCTATAGACTTTTCTACTGAATGAATATAGTATGGTTATTCGCATTCAAAAATGTGAATTGTATCTTAGAAAGACTGGGTACAAAAAATTGGTGAAATGCCTGAATATTATGTTAAGTTTTTGAATTCAGTACTCACGATCTTAGTGATTACAGGACCATGTCTCCAGAGTAGACTAGGACTGCTTGGAATCCATGGGCATCAAGTGATTCTTGGCTGACAGAAGGGCATCTGATGGCTTTATGAAGTTATTTGTAATTCTATTTTCTATGTGACTTTTCTTTCTGGTCAGATCAACAGGTTTTATCGTATTCTCAAGGGAGTTCATGACCCCCAAAAAAGCTTAAGAAAGAACATCTGGGGGCAATCAGCCACAGTCAGTAAGCAGGATCTGGCTTTATACAGTACAACATGTTTTAATTTTTTTAAACACACTACATCTGTGGATTATCTTTGGAGGCCCACGTTTCACCTCCCCGGTATTTTTACCAGATTCAGGAATAGCTTCATCAAACCCTAAGCCCTCTGGGCTAGGACTGCTGTGCCCTTTGCTCCTCAACTGCCCCTGGCCTTCATCCTTGATTGCAAACCAATGGAATTTCACACCCAATCGCCTCCAGATCACCCTGTGACCACTGTCTCCCCCAGAGGTACCTCCATGCACAGGGGCTGTCAGCTCTCTGGTCAGCCTGCCAAAGGAGGCTTCCCTTGTCTTATCTCCACTCCCCTGCCCCAACTCTAGGCATTCTGAACTCCCAAACCCTATTCCTAACCCTGACCAAATTTATGGTCACTCTTGCCCACAGGCTAAACTATTTTGTCTTCTCTCTATGCACTTGGATACCACCTTCCCAGCAACACATCACACTTTCACAGAAAGCTGTACTACTGGCTCACGTCCTCTATCCGACCCACCCCCACCTTCTTCTTGGTGTCCACACCAACCACACAGACATGCTGGCCTCACAGACCCTGTCTTTCTCTTCTATTCTGGCCTTCTCCTCCCTCTACCTAAGCAATCCACTCCCACGTCCACACCTAGGACTGTGCCATCTTCCAGAATTGCTCCGTCTCTGAACATCTCAAAGATCCTCTGTCCACCCGAATATCCTCTACCTCACTTCTCCCCAGAGTCACTTTCTCAGACATCAGCTTGTGGCTGGCTCAGGTCATATTTTTGCTTTTAATCCTTACCCCAAATGAACTATGAGTTTAGAATTTTTTAGTTAGTTTTTTCAACTTTCAAATAAATTAGGATTTCCAGCTATTTTTTTTTTTTTTTTGGACAGCCAGAGTGGACAGTGAGAGAGAGAGACAGAGAGAAAGGTCTTCCTTTGCCATTGGTTCACCCCACAATGGCCGCTGCGGCCAGAGCACTGCACTGATCCGAAGCCAGGAGCCAGGTGCTTCTCCTGGTCTCCCATGTGGGTGCAGGGCCCAAGTACTTGGGCCATTCTCCACTGCATTCCTGGGCCACAGCAGAGAGCTGGCCTGGAAGAGGGGCAACCGGGACAGAATCCGGCGCCCTGACCGGGACTAGAACCCGGTGTGCGGGTGCCACAGGCGGAAGATTAGCCTATTGAGCCGCGGTGCCAGCCAGGATTTCCAGCTATTTGAATAGCCCTGCCAAAACTAAAATATTGTATATTAAGACTCCCCTGAATGACCGTCCTATTCTCACATAGCAATTGTTTCTACTAAATAAACCTAGCAAGACAGGGATGAGGATAATGATCTTTAGGAGACAAGAACGGCCAGACACCAGGCTGGAATGAAACTACGGCAAAGCCCTGAGTCAGCCAGCCTGTGTGATTTCCACATCCTCTAGATGGGTGACTGCAGAGCTTGAAGACTGACTGGGGGCCGGTGCCGCGGCTCACTAGGCTGATCCTCCGCCTTGCGGCGCCGGCACACCGGGTTCTAGTCCCGGTCGGGGCACCAGATTCTGTCCCGGTTGCCCCTCTTCCAGGCCAGCTCTCTGCTGTGGCCAGGGAGTGCAGTGGAGGATGGCCCAAGTCCTTGGGCCCTGCACCCCATGGGAGACCAGGATATGTACCTGGCTCCTGCCATCGGATCAGCGCGGTGCACCAGCCCCAGTGCTCTGGCCGCGGCGGCCATTGGAGGGTGAACCAATGGCAAAAGGAAGACCTTTCTCTCTGTCTCTCTCTCTCTCACTGTCCACTCTGCCTGTCAAAAAAAAAAAAAAAATGACTGGGAATGAGATCTGACTCCATCAGCTTCCTTGTTAGGAGCTACTTCCTGGTTTCAAGTGATAACAGTGAAAACAAGGGTCATCTTGGCCCCTTGCCAACCTGATGGCTTGTGTCTCTCCTCTTATGTATAATTAGAACCCTCTTCTCCAGTTTCTGCTTCCGAATTTTATCTGAGGGACGGAGGAGACCTTTTCTAAGGACAAAATCGTCAGTTATCCTTTAGTGAGGTGAGATTGACTGAGGTACTGATGAAGGCAGGCATAAAGGATAAAATTGATCAGGTTTGTGAGCTGGAAGACCACGCCTTCACCATGCCCCTGAGTGACCTCATGCCCCTACCTGGCCACCCCTGCGTGTCCACCGGCCAATCAGACTAATTAACCACTCCCTTTTGGAAGTGGATTAAAGGCCTGGGACATGGTAGGCCCAGCCCTTTTCTTTGGCCTTTTGCCATTGTGGGCCCCTGCTGCCCTGCACCTCCAGGGTTCGTGGCCTTTGGGCCACCCGCCCCATGCTTTCTGGCCTGCATACTCCACGTGGCTGGCTCCTGGTACTCGGTATGAATCCAGATTTCCCTCTCTTAGATAGGGCCTTCACTCTCCTATGCATTTTTCCCACTGAATAAATAGCTTAAAACGTATCATATTGCCTCATTCATTTATGCCGGTATTCAGAATTCTTCTCTGAATATTAGGCAAGAACCCACACAGGCTTATTAATATTGGGAATTTATTAATAAGCATGGAGTGATATCATATTGTTACCTGAGAAATGGCGGGGTTCTTGTCTTCGTGCAAGAAAGAATTCAGGTGTGAGACAGAGTAGTGGAAAGTAAAAAGTGGCAAAATTTACTAGGGTAGGGACATCCTCAAGAATGGATGGGCACCTCTCCAGACAGGACCTGAGAATGCCCAGTCGCTTGGACTGGGGTGGGGAAGGAGCGAGGTTACATGGTTGAGTAGAGAGATTACACCTGACCAGGCCAGGCGGGCAGCTCAGCAGAGAGGCAGAGGGTTGAGCATGCCGCCCGGTTGAGGCCAGGGGTTTTTAAGGAGATGGATCTTTGTCTTCACACATCTCCTCCTGAAACAAAGGATCTTATGGCTGTAAATATTAAGAAGCTCCTATCTGAGTTTTCCCTTGAAGGTATCAGACAGGAGGAAGCCTAGCTGGCACCATCCTGGGTTCAGAGGTAGTGTGAGCAGGACCCCCTAGAGAATGGGGATCCAGAGCAGGGTGTTTGAAATGCACATACTGGGCTGCATCTGGGAGATTGTGGAAGATTTGTCAGGCAGAAGGGGCAGAGATCTCTGCCTGGCAGGTTATCAGGTAGAAGGGGGCAGGGCAGGATGCGAATGCAGGGCTGCCCCTGAAACATAATCGGGATGACTTTGAGATGTATGCTGGATATAGATGTCTTCTCTTTAGGCCTGTCATACACACATAAGCTCATATCTAACTTCCTACCTAGCAATATGGCACCCCATATTCCGATATCAGTACCACTGACTCTGTATTTCAGAACTGTGCTGCAGTCACTCCATTCCCAGTGCTTAACAGAATGCCTGAGCCACAATAGAATGAACCACGTTAATCTTAACTGTGTTAACACTGCCAACTATTTCTTCATGGCTGTATAACCACTAAGAGAAACCAATGGTGCAGTGATTAAGAGGGTTTGGGGGTCAGGAGGGCCCAGGCTAGAACCCCACTTTTGGTTTAGTGAACTGTGTGGTCGTGAGCAACATGGTGGGTCTGAGTCTCCTGCAAGTGTGCAAGGCTTGCAGTGCATCTCCTAGCACTCCATGAACACCTAGTGAGTGTCCCCTCTTTCCTGTCATTCTCTTTGCCACCATACTAATGCTTGCTTCTGCTGTTGCCTTCTAGTTTGGGACTCGCTTCATTATAGAGGCCATGGAGGCAGCAGGCCACTCCATCACTACTCTTTTCCTGTGCGGAGGCCTGAGCAAGAATCCTCTTTTTGTGCAAATGCATGCAGACATCACTGGTAAGTCTGGGAAGGAGAAGGTCATTTGAAGTGTGGGAGCTGGTGGGTGTGGCCTATTCCTGGGAAGGATTAAGGCGAGGAGGATATCAGTGGTGTGTCAAGTTATTAAGATAACCCTGCCGTCTTTATGTTCATGATGGGGAAAGTCACTTCTATGTATGTCCAACTGTGGAATAATGGTGAGAAGGGTGGCTGAAGAGTGTGGCAGGGGCTAGAGCTTAATTCAAGCATTCACTCAACAGTTTTGACATCTTCTGATCCAGGCATTGTGGATTATACTGAAGATATAAAGATGAATAGGGCATAGTTATTTCCCCTATGAAGTTCTAGGTCTATTGAGCAAGGCGTGTTGAATCTAGTGTGACAAGAAGAGCAGGTGTTAGGCACAGTAGGTGTTAGGTACACACACGGATTGGGAATACCAATATCCTGTATCAGAGTGCCTGAGTTCAAGTCCTAGCTCCACTCCCGGTTCCAGCTTCCTGCTAACATGCACCCTGGGAGGCAGCAAATTCTAGTTCAGATACTAGGTTCCCTGCCCACCATGTGGGCACCTGAATTGAATTCCTGGCTACCTACTTCTTCCTGGCCTGGACCCAGTGGTTGTAGGCATTTGGAGAGTAAACCAGGGAATAGAAGATCCCCCCCCCAATAAATAAAACAAAGAAATGAATATAATGTAACAGTAGCTCAGTGAGAAGAGCACAGGATATTACTGCAACATAGTAGGTGCACAGTTTTGACCTATGACATCTCAGGAAAAAGAAAGACAAGCTGTCTTGAGGAAAGATACAGAGCTAAGATGCCATGGGAGGCCGGTGCCATGGCTCACTAGGCTAATCCTCCACCTTGTGGCGCCGGCACACAGGGTTCTAGTCCCGGTCAGGGCGCTGGATTCTGTCCCGGTTGCCCCTCTTCCAGGCCAGCTCTCTGCTGTGGCCAGGGAGTGCAGTGGAGGATGGCCCAAGTACTTGGGCCCTGCACCCTATGGGAGACCAGGATAAGTACCTGGCTCCTGCCATCAGATCAGCGTGGTGCGCCGGCCTCAGTGCGCTGGCCGCGGCGGCCATTGGAGGGTGAACCAATGGCAAAGGAAGACCTTTCTCTCTGTCTCTCTCTCTCACTGTCCACTCTGCCTGTCAAAAAAAAAAAAAAAAAAAAAAAAAAGATGCTATGGGAACTGTGGATCTGTCTGCAGACTGGAAATTTTTTTTTTCATTTTTGAGAGGAGGTGGGTATATAGCTGTTCCATTCTTTGATTCACTCCCCAAATGCCTGCAACAGCAACTTAATCCAGGTCTTTCACATTGTTGGCAAGAACCCAATTATCACTAGTGTCTATCACTAGTGTCTACCACTAGTGTCTGCACTAGTGTGCAAGAGCAGAAAGCTGGACTCAGGAACCAGAGCCAGGTGTTGAACCTTGGTACGCAGATATGGGATGCAGGTGCCCTAATGAGCCTCATAACTGCTAGGCTAAATTCTTGCCCTTGCCAACTGAGAATCTGAACCCTGAGATTCTGTGACTCCTTCTTCCCTCATCAGAACCAGAGATCGTAATACAGTGGAGGAAATCCAGAACAGTGGGCTCAACCCTTTGTGATATAGGGAGACTAGGCAGAACAGAATCCTAGGAGAACTCCCTGGGCCCCAGGGTAGGGGCCTCATGGGCAAGGAGGCTCACTGTACTGGAGATTCTGGCCTGGACTCCTGTCTGCTGCTTCCCTAACCCCTCTTGCTCCTTCCCCACCCCAGAGTTTTCTGGGACCTGGCACTCCCTCCCAGGGTCCATCCCTTAGTAGCCAGATACCAGGATAGGTCAGAGGCAAGTCAATGGGGGAGGATGGGACCTTGTTTATAGCCCCAGCACCAACCTGATATAAGCCCACCTTACCCTGGCCTCCACCCTGGCCCCTTACCACTGATACAGATAGGTCAAAGTCTTGGCTCCTCTATTGCCTCACCCTCTTTCCCTAGGCCTTCCAGGCCATGCACATTTCTATAGACACATGCTTTGTCTCACCAGATGGACATAACTGATTCCTGCACATTGTGGGGTAAAAATAATAATAGTAAGTTGATGAAGGCGCCAGTCAGAGGGCAATATAGAAAACCACACAGTAGATCAGTAAGGATGTGAAGTGCAGGAGTTGCTACCATGAACCCAGTGCCCACCATGTGTCATGAGAGCCACCCTGTATACATTTCATCTGCACCTGCCCCCACAATGAGACAGCAGACATAGGTTCCCCCGTCTCACAGTAACCTGAGGATCTGAGGATCAGAGGCATTCTAAGGTCAACCAGCCAGTGAGGACTCTGCTGCTGAGGCCACGTTCCTGGCTTTCTGCCAGTGGGTAGCCATTTGCTAATGACCCCACTTTCCTGGAATGGCCAAAACTGATGGGAGTCAGTGGCCATCCTGGAGCCCAAAGCAGAAAGACAATAAAAAGGAGCCCAGATTACCTAATCATTTCCCCAGGAGAAAAACCACAAGTGCATTTTCTCTAAAAGTCAACTGCCTGGCTCAGATAAAGTGCAGACTTGGCCTTCTTAGAGCCAGAAAGGCTTCCCTCCTGGATGCGGGAGGAGAGCTTAGGATAGCATGTGATGCATGGAGTAGGGAGACCAGGGCCGCTGAGAGCACAGGGGCTGGGAGCCACTGGGGGCACGGAGCCCGCCTTGACGCGCTCAACCTTTGTGAAAATGGGGCACCTTCCAGGCCTTGTGTCCCGGAGCCACCTCAGAGGCAGTGATGCAGCCCCTTCTCAGAAACTTCTGCTTAGGGAACTGCGCCTCTCCAGGCCTTCAATGAAAAAGCTGTAAATCGTTGTTTGGATTCGGATGGAAACCGGATCCTTTGTATCTAAGGAAGGACCAGTTACAGTTCCAGACAAAGAGACCTTTTCTTAGGCCTGGAATTCCTCAGCCTTTGCAAGCCTGTGACTGATGAGTGATGGCAAAGTGCATCTGCCTTTAAATGCTTAGGGTCCTGCAAAACTCATTAATGCATCAGATAAAATAGTTCACATTCCAGGCCAAGCTGGCCCTCTTCCGTCTCCCTCACCAGGCACTCAGAGAAAAGAACACATTAGCATGTGCCCCTCTGAAAGGCAGGCAGCAGGCACGCAGGGGTGCAGGCAGCTGGTGGAGCTGTGGTGCCTTTGGGGCTCTTAAACTCTGTAATGGCTCTGGTTTTCCTCCAGAGAAAGTTTTAGAGAGGACCATAGCTGCGGTCTGCCATGCTCAGAAACTGAACAACGGAACCTGGAAGGCTCTTTGGAGATAGCGTAGAAGAGCCGGTGAGGCACCAGCCGGGCCCTGGGACTTTGGGCAAGTTGCTTTACCTCTCTGCGCCTCAGGTCCTTCTCCTGGAAGGCAGAAATGTGGCCATCTCCCTCCTGCACTGCCTGTGAACACCCAGCCCTTTGCCCCACTCCCGTGTTTAGGGAAAAGGCGGTTTACTGTTCGGTGAGTGAACCTTTGCCACGTCGAGAGCAATCTGCTCCACACCAGCGGGAAGAGTGGGGCTTTTCTCACTCAGAAAACGGCGTTCACATGAGGAGGAAGAACCTCCTCGTACCCTGGCCATTTAGTTAACTGTGGTTTCCAGACATACTTGGTGTGTGCCGGGTAATTGTAGGTTTCCCCCTGCTGACGCGGGACTAAATGTTCCTTCTAAATGTTGTCTTTTGGCTCTGGCAGTTGCAGCCAGGGTTCTCCCTCTTGTCTGAATTATTTTAGTCATTTGTGCCTTCATGTATTCACTCAAAAGCATTCTCTGAGCACTCCAGCGTGCCAAGCACTGAGGTTGGCATGGGGATGAAATGTCCTGCTGAGACAGTCACCATTAAAACACAGGATCAGGGACCTGGAGCGCAGAGAGGGGACCAGAGGGCAGGGGTGTAGCTTCACAGCCAGGCAGGGAACAGGTACACACACAGACTGCGGGAAGTGGAGAAAAGTCAAATAAAGGGTCCATTTTCAGGGGTGAGAGCAGAGTGTAGAGAAGCTCAGGTGACCAGGGATGGCCCTGGGGACACTGTGTTTTCACCCTTAGGCTTGTAGGGCTGAGGGCAAGAGGCCGTCCAGTTTGCAGGCTACGTGAAGAGGGCAGCTGGGCAGGAGCTTGGTCAAGGATGTAGCAGAGGGTAAGGGGCCAAGGATGTGGTGCACACAGGCCAGTCCCCCAGGACTCAGAGCAACTGGGGGATGGCATTGTTCCTGGAGACAGGGGAAACAGTGAGTTGGTTCTATGCACAGCAGTAAGAGATGAGAACAGACTTCAAGGAGCAAGCGAACTCTGAGAAGCACAACCACTACTAACTTCGTGCTTTCTCTAAGCCAGGCACCCTTTTGAGTACTCTACCCTCTACCCGTAATAGCACTTTTAGTCCTCACAGCAACCCTACGAGGTCGGAGGAATTTTAACCCTATTGTGCAGATGAGAAAACTGAGGCACAAGGGAGTTAGGTAACTTGCCTAAGATTGCACCGCTATGTCAGGGAGCAGCCAGAATTCAAACGCTGGCAGTGTGGCTGCCAGAGCGCTTTGGGCTGCAACTTAAGACCTGCTGGGGGATTTGCCAGGCTCCCTGTGGGCTCCAGTTCTCAAGGGATGAAGACTGTGCCTCGTCCCTCCCTGGTCGGAATGTGGGACGCCTCAGTGGGATTAGGAAAGGTAGGAGGTGAATAGTGGGAGGAGGTGCTGTCCTCTAACATTCCCAAGCCCACAGCAAGTCTGGGGGGCCACAGTCCCATGCCCATCTGCACCAGCCCTGAGCTTCTTCGAGGCTGGCAGTGCCTTCTCTTGATTGTAGGACACAGCCCCTTTGCATGGCCTGGTATCACCAACCCCATCCCTCCCCAACCTGGCCAGCTTCAAGCTCCAAGTGAAGTGCATGGGCAGCCTCTGTGCTCACCAACAGCATGAATTCTGCTAGCAGCAGCCGCCGCTTCTCCAGGAATTAGCAAAGCCAGCACTGGTGCTAAGCACCATAGATGTGCCCTCACATTGAGCCTCACAACACACCTGTGCAGTCCCAGCCTCACCCCCACTTGACGCATGGGAGAACAGAGCCACAAGAGTTTAAGTGACGTACTGAGCATGCAAGGCTAGTGGAACTAAGAAACAAGCCCAGGCTGAGCTCCCTCCAGAGCCCCCACCCCACCTGATGCTGTTCCCACTGAATCTGAGCCCTGGCCTGCAGCAGGGGGCTGGTATTCCCAAGTGCTCTGGGATGCATGTGGGAATTCTGTTTCCTGCCCTGTTTGTTCTGGGTGCCTGGGGCAGCTGACCCAACCCTGAGGGAAGAAGATGTAAATTCCAAGGGGAAGTCTTCACAAACAAGAGAGGAAAAGAAATCTGATCTCTGGAAAAGTCACTCTTGGGCCTTAAGCAGAGGGAGGTTTTCTACCTCAGTGGAGTTTGCTGCCATCTCCTGATTAGCAAGCAGCTCCATATATACTTGCTTGCCCTGCAAACGCAGGGTTAAGTCGTATCTCCCCTGAAGGCTGTGACCACTGCCCCAGAAATTTGCTCCTTCATCATTTAATTATTTCCCACATGCTAGATCCTGGTCTGCAGGCTAGGCACATACAGCATGGACAAAGCAAAGACCTGGCCCTCAGAGAAGTTAGCTTGTAGCAGGGGAGATGCTAAACTGGATGCAGTGATGAAAGGAGAGGAGGAGACAGGGAAGGGGATAAGGAGTGCGCAAAGTGAGTGGTCACTTTAAATCTGATGGTCAGGGGTGTTTGCACGAAGTCCCGAAGGCGGGAAGGCAGTTACCATGTGGGCTTCTGGGAGGGGGTAGTCCAAGAAGGAAGTGGCAGGGGCAAAGGCCCTGAGGCATGCTCCAGAAGTAGCAAGCAGGCCAGGGCAATGTGGGCTGGAGGGGAGGAGAAGTCCGGGAGTGGAAATGATGCCAGACAAGGGCCACGGTCGGGGCTCTGGCTAATGCTCCCAGAGAGGCTGCAGGAAGCTGAAGATTCCCAGACTCTTGCCACTTCCCTTCCCTTGGTCCACGTCAGAGAACCAACTCCCTACATGGCCTTCATCTCTTTCATCCATCTCTCCTCTGGGACCTGAACAGCAGGACACAGTCTGGTTTATCTCTGTATTCCTGGACACAGCAAAGCACACGACAGGCGATTGCTGAACTGAACTGGGACCAGACTTTAGGTAGCAGCTAGCAACAGCCTGGATACCTGGACACTGAGGTCTCATGAGCTGATACCTGTGGGTTGACTTCTTGGGGCTCTTGACTACTGTACCAGCAGGCAAGGCAACAAAGGCCTTTAGAACCAGGTAATCCAAGGATCAGGGAACTACAAGGGCTGGGGAGGGGGCAGCTGCTGCTGCATTGACGTCAGGTGTTTTTGCCACTGGGATTGTTTTCTGGCTCCCCATGTTACCCTGGGCCCTGCTCCCTAACCAAGGTGTGGCCTTGTCCTGCGCAGGCATGCCTGTGGTCCTGTCACAAGAGGTGGAGTCTGTTCTTGTGGGTGCTGCTATTCTGGGTGCGTGTGCCTCGGGGGATTTCACTTCTGTACAGGTACGTGAGGACCGAGGGGTGGACAGGGGCCCTCCCCTGTCTGAGACCATCTTTCCTCTCGACAGCAGCTCACATCTTGCAAAACACACACAGGATATAATTAAGAAATGATAGGTTCCAGCCAGGGGAGCACAAACGCTTCTAGCCTCAGACACATTTATTGCAGTTTTCATTTGACTTGGCCTCTGTGAATGCTGGTTGTTCTGTTTTTCTGCTGGTTTTCTTGTTTTTCTCCTTGAAAGTAGCTCTTAAATGGTTTCTTTTAAATTGTCCCTTTCCCAGTGTTCTTTGCATTAGTGAAACAGGTAAGGCTTACAATTTAGGTATTTCATATATCCTTCATATTTGCATTTGCTTGATTCAACTCCATCACTTTCCAAAGATCTTTCAGGCTCCTAGCAACAAGAGACCCACGTGAAAACAAATAATAAAATAAAACAAAGTAAAATAAAATAAAGAAAATAAGGAAGAAAGATAAAGGAAGAAGAAATAATTTGGTGGCTATGATTGAGCATATAATTTGGCTCTGAATGTCCTGGAAGCTGAGACCAAAAAAAAAAAAAAAAATAAGTAATAATGCATGATAAGTTGCATAATTCTTCTTTCAAAAAGAAAAAAATACTAGTTTCTATGGAAAAACAAAGCTTTTCCAGCTACCAAATTGCAGAAGACATTGCACTCATGGGCCTTTGTGGAAAGACTTTGAGTGCTAAAATAATACCAAAAAGTAAAAGCTGAGTCCCGTGCAGAAGCTGAGAGCCCAGGCCCTGTAGTTAGCAGCCTGGGCTCCAATCCTGGTTGACTACCTACAAACTCAAATCCTCGCTTACCGTGTCAGGGATCTACCCACTCTGCTCTGCACCTCCATTTACCTGTAATGATCAGTGCTGTCAGTTCTCTCTGTGGGCGGGGCATGTCTGGGTACTTCCTGCCAGGGCTCCACATTTTATAAGTGAAGAGCCGTAGGCATTAAAAAGTTCAACAACTTGCCCTCAGGTGAAATGGCTAGAAAATGCCAAACCTAGAAGTCCAGCTCCCAAATCTCACCTGAGCACCCAGGAGCTATTTTTTCAGCTGAGAATTCAACTGCATAAATGACCTGCCCAGGGTCTCCAGGTTAGGGCTAATGACTGGGTCTTCCAGCACTAGCTCAGAAATTAGAGTGCCATTTATTTTGGCCCCCAGGCACCATATCTTCCTAATACATGTCACAACTCCTGGGCAACAGAGGTACAGAAAGCTGAGAAAACATAAGGGGAACTCTTAGAGATGATCAGAGGTGCCCTCTGCTATTTGCTCTACATTTTGGGAAGTGGTACAGTACACACTACTCAAACTTCAGGCTTTGATACTGTGAAATATATCCTCCAGATAACTAGCTCCACTTAGGAATACTTGTGGACTTTTAGCTGAAGTCGTTAAACAAAGACCATAGAATTGAATTCTCTCCCTTTTTTTGGATTTTCTGGTCCTTTCTCAGAAACATCACTTTGAGATTTTTACTTATCATTGAAATGTCAGGGATTTTTTAAATATTATTTCATTGTATCAGCTTACGAAGATGTTCTCACAACTAGAGATGTTTTGCCCTTACTGGGACAAATTATAACAACTAGAACAAAGCTGTTACCTCATGTTATGGACTGTTTGTGGTCTCCCAAAATTCATATACGGAAGCCTTAATTCCCAATGTGACATCTTCCAATACTTTTGGAGACTTGGGGAGGGGAGGTAGTCAGAGATAGATGCGGTCATGAGAATTAAATCCCCTTGTTTGAGAGTCACTGTGCACTAACTTCCTGTGCAGGACCTCTTTCCTCAAAAAGTTGTATTAAAACTATGTCTAAGTGCTCCCAAAAGATGTATCATTCTTGGGTGCTTCGCTAAAGTTAATTAAATTTCTTAAAAAAAAAAGTGAAATGAATTTCAAGATGCAACGACTTTGAACAGCCCTTGTCTTGACTGTTGAGAGACAGTATTTTTTCGTTTCGTTTTGTTTTGTTTTTACTATGCAAATTGTTAAGCTCTTTACTTAGTATAGAGTTGGTCTCCTGTACAGAAAGTTAATCTAAAATGGATCTTAGTGGAGAATGGGACTGGGAATGGGAGAAGGAGGAGGAGGAGGGGTGGGAGAGTGGGTGGGAGGGTGAGTATGGTGGGAAGAATCACTATATTCCTTAAGTTTACTCATGAAATGCATGAAGTCTGTATTCCTTATAAAATATTTTTTGGCAAGAAAAATAAATTTAAGAATAAATTAAAATTTTTTTTAATAAAAAATAAAACACAAAAAGAAAGGAAAAAAAAGGTCCCCTGAGGGGAGCAACCCGGACTAGACTAAGTTACTGGAATTAAGACTTATTCTATGCATCTGCTCTCCCACAATATGGCGCTGGGAGAGGAGAAAACAGCTTCTACGCAGCTGCCTCTTGCCAACTTGAGTGATGACCTCCAGGAGCTGATCCTGCTCCTGATTGGAGGAGAGCAGCGTACTCGGCATGTGGGCAGCAGAGTTGGGATTGGTGGAAGAGGACTATAAGGGAGGAGAGAGACAGCATGCACCAGGAACATCTAAGGGGAACATCTGAAGGAACACCTGTGCAGCCCCCGAGAGAGCCGGCCGGCGGTGTGCTGTTCCCCTGCGGAAGTGGGGAAAGTGGCCAGGGGGAACCGCCCTTCCACGGAGGTGGAAGGGACGGCAGCCAACCCGGGAAGAACCAGCAGCAAACCCGGGGAGGGCCAAGCAGACGAAAGAACAGCGCAGGGTCCTGTGTCGTTCCTCCATGAAGAGGGGGAGCGACAGTCCCCTTGTTTGGAACACATGGGATCCCTATGTTCAGACTCTCCCTGTCCCTCCTCTCCCTCTCCTCCCTCTCCTCCACCCTCTCCTGCCTCTCCCTCCTCCTTCCCCTCCCCTCCCTCTCCCCCTCCACTTCTTCTTCCTCTCACTCTTCCTCTCTACCACATAAGGACACAGAAAGAATCTGATTCTCTGCAAGCTAAAAGAGGGCCCTCACCAGACTCCTAGGATGCTGGCACCCTGATATCTTACTTTGACCTCTAGAACTGTGAAAAATTAGGTTTCTCCTATTTAAACACGGGGCTGTGATGTTTTATCTGACAGTCACCCTGCCTGCAGGGTAGATTTTTCTTTTGTCCTTGTGTTGTGCATGAAGAAACCAAGGCTTTAAGAGATAGTTAAGTAATTTGCCCAAGGCTGCATGCCTTTGTAAGGGCAATAGCAGAACTAAAAGGAAAGTCTTTCTGGATCTATATTCTATCTTGATTCACTTATTTTTCTAATTTATTCAATTTTTGAAAAATATTCCCTGGCATCTTAAATGTTTAAAAGTGTGTTTTTTGAAAAGAAATGGATGGTTCACAAATCAAGAGATAGTCCCCAGCCGGACAGGGCGGGGCTGTTCCCTTGGACTGAGGCAGGACTCAGGTGTGGGCCTCCACTGATCTTGTCATCAAAACCAGCGTCCCCAGCTCCATGAAGATTTGCTGACAACTTCCTGTGTTTGGGAACTGAACTCAGTTTCCCACTGATGTTTTTACTCTGTGAAATTTGCTATTAATCTGCTGGTACAGAATCTAGGCTTTGGTTGATCAGACATGGGAATTGATGACTTCAGTATCCTCTACGAGGCTCAAAGTATCTTAAAGACAGCTCATTTCTCCGGTCCAACCCTAAGAAGTCTGTGCCTGTATTGTTTTCAGGACACACTGCACTCTGGGGGCAGCTGTGTTGAGTTCTATGCTTGCCTGTATATCCACAGACAATGTCACTTGTTTCCTTTTTAAAATAAATGTCTAAATAAGAATTGTCATTTATGTGGTGCTGTTGAGATAAAGAGCCTTTGAAAGCTCCAGTGACCTCCCAGACAGGATCAACATCATTAGAATAATTTTGTTTGGAAAGGTAAATGCATGTAAACTTGGCTTCATTCACACTGTCCTCCCTCCTCCCCCACCCCAAAGAAGTGGATCTAAGCCTTCGCACCCCAGGCCTAGAGATCAGCTCAAGCTTTCTTTCTGGCAAGGTATGGTGAAACAGGATTGCTTCCTCCCTGATTCATATTTTTCAAGCTGTACAGCAACACAGTCTTTTCTTTCAACTTCAGTATCCTAACTTGGTGTGCAGGATGCCTGCCACTCTATCCTTCAAGAAAGCTAAGTGGTTCCTGCCTGCTATTCAACCACTCCAGCAGGCCGGATAGTTTCCCTTCTCATATAGCATACATCTGATGGTTGAAAGCAGGATTTCACTTCTTACCTAGCCAGAGTCATCTACCTACTTCAGATGAAGGAAAGACAAGTAAGAGTTCAGAGGACCCAGTCTACAGAACCAGGGAAGAAGTTTATGTGCCTAGAGAGACAGATTTTCATCCTGGGCACAGGAATGGGTGGTTTCAGCAGTGGGTAGAACCCTGTACCTTCCTTTGCTGATACCAATAATCAGAATGTATGTACATTCTGCCTAAGTCTATACATATCAATCCTGAGGGAATTGTATCAGGTAGAGGGAGAGGGAAGTAGTTGAAATTTTTCTGGTCACATGTCAATGAGAGACATAGGTCAAGTGCAAGGTCCACTGGTATTGCAAATTATAAACTATGCTGATAATGCCTAGCTTCCATCTCCTATTCTTTTTTTTTAAAGATTTATTTATTTGAAAGTCGGAGTTACATACATAGAGGAGAGGCAGAGAGAGAGAGAGGTCTTCCATCTGATGGTTCACTCCCCAGATGGCCACAACAGCCAGAGCTGCACCGATCCAAAGGCAGGAGCCAGGAGCTTCTTCTGGGTCTCCCACATGGGTGCAGGGGCCCAAGGACTTGGGCCATCTTCTACTGCTTTCCCAGGCCATAGCAGAGAGCTGGATGGGAAGAGGAGCAGCCAAGACTAGAACCAGCACCCATATGGGATGCCGGTGCTTCAGGCCAGGGCATTAACCCGCTGTGCCACAGCCCCAATCTCCTATTCTTTTATCCATT